CGCCTCTAAATTACTTGCCTGTGTAATCCTACACAGAGTGACTGGCCCTCGTGACAGCCAGATTGGCGAGAAGCAAGCCGGGTTTCGTCGGGGTCGTAGCTGCATCGACCATATCTTCACCTTGCGTTAATTGTTGGAGCACCGTCACACATATTGGCACCCCACCGTAGTCGTATTCCTCGATATTGAAGCTGCATTCGATTGGGTTGATTGATGTGCCCTTTGGGACTGTCTGCTCAGGAAAGTTATCCCCGAGGAATATGTAAATATTATCCGAGCATTATACGCGCGTAGCACGGGCAGAGTGAGGGCTTACGGCAAGCTGTCGCCACCCTTCAATATCTCCAGCGGTGTGAGACTAGAATGCACATTGTCCCCTTTCCTTTGCAAGTTCCCTTTTGACGAAGTCATGGAGATTGCGTTTACGGGACACGACAGAAAGTGTGGATCTGCTCTCAGGAGAACGACTTCTTGACTTGGAGTATGCTGACGATATTGCCCTCATCTATGACAGCTCCCAGTCTTTCCAAGCTACACTGGACAGATGAGCACTGGCTGTCAGTCGCTTCAGGCTTTGCTATACACCATCAAAATGTAAAGCTTTCCACCGAGTTTGGGAGAGATCGCTTGCTGCGCTGACCTTTGGTGGGAATCAGCTAGAAGTCGTTCAAAAATTCAACTACCTGAGAAGTTGTGTCAGCGCCCTTAGGATCGGACTTGAGATCTCGAACCGTATAACAAAATCTCGAGGTACTTTTGGTAGTCGTCGCTACCTATGGCGGCGGCGCGAAATCACTCTGATCCCCAAGGGTAGAGTGTACAATGCGGTGATGCGTTCGTACGCTTGTAAAACCTGTCCCCTTAAATTAGCGGACCTAAGGAGGCTAGGTACGTTCGACCATCGGTGGCTTCGCACTTTGGCTCGCATCTGGTGGGAACACCGAGTGAGCAACGAGCGTGTTCGACGCGTTGTTTACCGCACAGGAAAAGGAACTGAACCGCTCAGCACCGTTATTTTACGCACCAGACTCCGATGGCTCGGCTACATGTTACGCATGCCAGCCCACCGGCTTCCGCGACTTGTGTTGTTTGTTTGGCCGCAGGTGTGCATGGAAGAACACGAGAGGTGGCATGCGATGACGCTCGAGAAGAATGAAGGCGCTCACTTCTAAGCCAGTCTCGGTTGGATCGCCAGGGCTCCATGGTTGAGTTCCGAAAGAAGATGAACACGTTTAGCTGGATGCACTTCCTGATATGGCTTGGAGCGTTCATTCTGTGAGTTTCTTTGTCCCTCTCCATCCCTTTTAGTCTACCCTTGCAACCACGATCTCAATTCGTAGCATAATATAATTTTACATACTAATTTTTTGTTCTCTAGTAGCCGGCTTATAAGTGCAGCGACACCGGGGATATAAGCAACAGCCAATCACCTGGAACGACAAGATGAAATAAGACAAATCCAATAATGCATACAGATACAGTGGCATAACCCTAAGCTAAATAAGCATTTGAAGTAAATTGGTTAGCAACGAATCCGCGGTAAGGAAAAAGTGTCCACGAGTTAGTTAAAAATGCTACAAAACGTAACTAAGTTACGGAAGGTAAGCGCAATTAATCTAAGGAACCTGGCCAGTTAATAGAAGAGTATTCAGGTGGGCAGAACAAACCAAAGAAAGTGGAATGAAATTTAGCTATATATATATATATATATATATATATATATATATATATATATATATACCGCTTAAAAGCCTCTTTGCAAGGGGTTGCTGTTCGAGCTTGGGGAGCGAACCTTTCTACAGGGGTAAAAATATTCCTATGGACAGCATATATGCAACAGAAATAACTTTCTATTGTTTGTTTTACTGTGGACAGCGGCTTAGAGCTTCGCTTATGGTGATCAGCAAGCGATGCTCTAGTGCAAATAGCTAACACTTCGATGTCACTAACAAGCTCTAGTATACGATTACACTCAACTTACTGGTGGGTGTCACAAAATTATCCACCCCAGTGATTGCAAGGAAGTTCGCACTAGATCTACCAAGATCTCTAGCACAATTAATAGAGCATCGTCAGGGTGCCTACTGCTAATAGCTATAAACCCATAGTAGACATCCGCCTCGGAGTTGCGGTAATGGGACAAAGTTTGCAACCATTCAGCTAGCTGTATCTGCTCATATGCCTTTTTGCACTTATAGTTTAAGCAGCTAATGTGCAATGACGAACAATGAAATGTCCTTTTCATTAACATCCACGATAATGAGTTAACAAAGGTGGCAAGCGCCAAAGCGGTCTGCACAGTTGTTACTGAATCGGTGGACTGTCCAAACTGCATCTTCCACGTCTTTATAGAACCAGGTCTTCTGCAGCCAAATCACCTAGTTGCGATTGCTAGCAACATCTAACCGTTTTTTCATGCGTTCCTTTTTTCCCGTAAGCAAACAAATGCAGGAGTTTGTTGGTTTTTTTAATCTGAAGTGAACGCCTCTCTCACCAATAACTTTGTTGCTTAGTTGGTTTCCTGCAGTAGTTTACTTGTGTGTGCGCGCTTCGACTTACGTCTTTGACAACGATGTAGGCTCATAGGAGTTTACCAGATGTGCAGTTAGATGTTCTAAACACATATCAAAGTACACTGATATTCGAGTTAAGTAAGCGCTCAACGAACGCAGTTGAGGGTCGCTGTTCGCCAGCCATGATTAACAACTATATCCACATATAGTGAATCCTGTTATCAGAAATTTTGGAAACGTTTGCATATTTCCCGACACATTCTGGCTGGAAGCGAATGCGGCGAGATTTGCAGTTCTCTAGGTACAATTGCGTGCTGGTATGATTAGTGGCTTCGAAGCCTGGTACTCTAATGGTGCATCAGAGATGTAAACAACCACTCCTCTAGATGGCCATCCCACTCTATTCTGTCTCATACAGGAAGTGGGATGATTGTCTATGACGACAAATAAGAGTTTGTTTGTTACCTATCAAAACGCACCGGGCATTGGACTGAACACTTCGAAAAGCCCTTTAATCGACCAGCATTGTCAGCTTCCTCACCGGCTTATGATTGCCCAGCACCCTGGGTCGTTACTTTTGATATGTTCTGACACACGTAAGTCGAGCGTGGGATGGGCGCGCCAAAATTGAGTAGGGCTGTAGGACCTGATGAAATACTTCTAACCTTCTTTAAGCACGCTGCTTCTACAGATGAATTACACGATTTCTTAGTGAAATGGTATCCCAATTGATTGGCGCCGCCCCATTTTATTGTCATTTTTTAGTTTGGGCGACCATAGAGCAGTGTGATGTTTGTCACATCCTGTTTGATCGCATTTACAGTTTTTCGTAGACCGACTGACACCCTTGAGATTTAGTTTCCTGGGCGACCGACCTGGTTTCGTCGATTTTGAGGCTTTATTAACCGCATATCCACAGCACATCAATTATTGGAACATCGCCACCTACACACGCGACCTTTCCTTGTCATCATCGACACCAAAGGTACCTTCGGTTTGGCGGTTCGACGTGCTGTTTAAAACTATTCTATCAAAGAAAGATGTACTCGTGAGATTAAATTCCAAGAGCGCATAGTTCTAGCGGGTTGATGGCTTATTATGAGTCATCACCGCTCTTCGTTATGTTCAGGGGTGCGAGACAATAATGCCCGCTGTCACCCACTTTTAACTTGGCTATTGACGAGGTGATGGAGACTGCATCAAGTTAGAAAGATTAGAGTTGCTTTCCTGTGATCAGCTTTTCCTTTCTGTGTATGCCGATGATATCATCCTAATATGTGATAACTTATAGACCTGTCAGAAAACGCTAGACACGTTAGCATTAGCTGTCAATCGTTCAAGACTGTCTGCATTCCATATATGCAATTTCCCTCCATATTAGCTATGATCACCGCCTACACTGAGTCTTTGAAGAATTCAGCTACCATTGCTAAGATAACAAATCACATAACAAAAGTTCGAGACACTTCGGCTAATTGTCGCTGTTTATATCGCCCGTCCTGAAGGGTAAAGTTCACAATGCGGCCGTTGGCTACTCTCTCCTCTACAGTTCTGAAATCTGGTCTCGGCTGTTAACTGCTGATATCCGGTTTCTAACCCGAAAAAGATAACCACGTTTGGTTGAAGTTACTGATTGCATTTGCATCGTGAGTTTCTTTGTCCCTCTTCTCTCGCCTGGTTTCTCTCTCCAACCGCGATCTCAGTCTCGCAGCACAATGGAAGAGACCATAAAATTACTTGCTTTATTTTTTGCTATTTTCTTTTTTATTCACTCTGAACTGTATTCCTAGCATATTAACCAATGATGATGATGATTATGTTCACTGGGAGCAGAAACTCGCTGTTTTATTATTTATTCGTTAATTTGTATTTGTAATACCCTTGTGAAATCTTTCTCCATTATATTTGCCTAGATTTGAGTCCAGATTGGTCAAGGATGCTTTGACGTACCCCATTAAGTGCCCGAGCCACCGCAATATCTGAAGATTTCAGGTGTCCTCACGTGTTCTAACATGCAACCCCTATAATCTCTTCGCTCCAGTTGTGTGACACAGGGTTGTCTACAAAGCTTCGGCGCGCAATTTACTATGGTGACCAGTTTCGTTCGTTATATCAACAAATAGAAACAAAATTTAGTCGGCCCGAATAGTTGTCATATGCAGTCGCCCGTCATTTCGAAAAAGGTGTTATTTTGTTTCTTGAGTGTTGTTCGATGGAATAACCAGAGCGAAATGAAGTCGCTGGCTGCTAAGCTGTGTGCTATTCATCCGACTCACTTCCAAGTCTAGTTGCCAGCGGATAGAACGCACACTGGTGTCATTGGCGCATTTGCTCTCATCCACCTATCAGAGTGGCATATGTTGCCTCTGACTTTTCCTGTTTTCTTTTAAACTTGTTATTATCGGAACCAGTACTACCACCTCTACAACCTCATCATCAGGCGCGACGAATGGTAATTTCCGCATTCGAATTTCCCGGTTCTTTTAGGGCAGAAGCCTTAAAGAGGCGGAAGAACAAAAGTGCAGAGCTGTGCGACTACCAATACGTGAGTTCACCAACTTCGTGGGCGTCAAGTCACCAAGTCCAGTGCTAACGATAAACCAGGTCATTGAACTCATTCTTAAGTATCTCAACAACGGACGAGATTGGAAGGAAGCTATTTTGTCCACTATACCCAAGCGGTTAATAAAGAGTTGATATACGTTCATTTTCTTCCAACTCACTTTTGTTTATGATTGTCACGGTCAAGGAACGAGCTTCCGAATTTCAGTTAATGGTCAATGATATATTGCGGAAAATCAAGCCGAGATTTGCCTATCCTGCAGGTTGATCGGAGAAGAGTTTCGACAGAAATAAAAATAACCGAGCAAAATTGTGTCCTGAACCGTTCATATGCGGCTTTAGGAGATTCACTTTTCCCACTAAAACGTGTGTCGGCTGATGCGTTTGGTTTTCTATGTGCATATGATGTGTAATTCTGCCAGCGCATTGTCGACACGATTTTCTAACACAGCTAATGCAGGGGCTGAAATAACAGCTTCTGAGAGTGAATTCCATATGTGGTAAACAGGCAGCGAAAAGAAATTCGTCTACACTACAACCGGTTGTATTTACACGCCATTTTGAGATGATGACCTGCCAGTTTGTTGTTATGGCTGAGCTTTAGCAGATGATAGCACGAGTGATTAGGGTTGCTTAAAATCTGGTTAACCATGATAAGGTTACCACGCAAACGCCTATAGCGTCTACTGGGAACTCCCAGAATACTCAATCGCTAAGGATCACAAACCTGCTTTGGAATCCGGCAGCTCTAGTTCGAGCCTGTGCAGGGACCGGGCAACCATCGCAGTATCCTTAGACCACGTGCGACCGGTGGTAGTTGCGCAGCAGCGAAACGTCGGTACTAGGTACCGGCGTACTGTTGATGCCTTCGATATAGAAGCAAATGTTGGTAGCTCAGGTTGTTCAGTTGATTGTCTAAGTGTTCGCTGAGCTTTGCAGGTTGACTGCAAACGTTTCGTCACCACTCGAGGTGACATCGTCAGTGCGCGTGTATTTAGCAAAGTGGCGCGTACGGAGCGTCAGTGAGTGGAAAATAGAAAAGGTGATAAGATCGCTCCCTGTAGAACACCACAGTCGGCACGGAAGACAGAGGATTTCTTACCGTTCAACTTGGTGAAGCGAGTACGACCTGTAAAATAGTCACGTAACAGATTACACACACCAGGGTGAACATTTTCGGATAGCAGGTTTAGCAACCGTGACCTATCCAGGCTTTCAAAGGCATTCGAATAATCCAGGAAGAGAAGCCATACGGATTTACCTTTTGATCTAATGCACAGGCTATAGAATGAATAACATATGCCACTGCATCCACACTGACGCTCCGTACGCGCCACTTTGCTAAATACATGCGCACTGACGATGTCATCTCGAGTGGTGACGAAACGTTTGCAGTCAAACTGCCAAGCTCAGTTGATGCCTTCTTCTATGCCCAGAGTTCTGGAGTCGTCAAGCCAGTGATGTATATGTATATATTTCTCGACTGCGAGGTTCAGTCCAATTACGTGGCCTTAACATTTGGTACAACAAGATCTCAAAGGGTAGCTGTCTTTCAAATTATCCAGAGCAGTTCCAAGGTAGATTTTCGGGGTGTTCGATCAGTAGAAAAGTTAGAAGGAGAGGTGGAGAGTAGGATGAAAGTGGCTATTGAAGAAGTCTCCTGTGGACCTGATTGCATGCGGAGTAGTCCCTCGAAAGGTTTCATCCGCGCTTCCACACCCTATTTGGCTTTGTGCCGTTGTGGCATAAGAGCGATTGGGCATCAGCATATTAGCTCATCCTCAAGGCCGTTGTTATGTATAGTGAGTAATAGTCTCGCAGAGATAAATATGCTCTCTGCCTTTTTGAGCCATTCAGCCCATTTCATCTGACTTTTTCGAATTTGACACTTTTTTACTCGCCAAATCTGTGATAGTTAGTCTTTATTGGGAGTATTTTTTCTCGCCAGTATGTCTATGGCAATTCCTCATATGTGGGTATATAGACTAATTCGGAAGCTTCGTTCCGTCATCTCATGAGATCGGCCTAGTCGCGACCAACGATGGAAAAGATAAGTATAGAATGTGATGAAATAAAACTATTGATAAATGAGTGTCATATCGGATGAATTCTGCTTCAGGTTGGACTTAAGGGTTACACAGAAAAGCAAAAATGGACAGCTCTCTAAGACATTTGGATATAATCTAACGACTCAAGGCAATCAAGTTGTAGAGTGATTGATATGGAAAATTGGACTTCGCAGAGCCCCGAACAATGTCACAGGTGGTGGAGTTGTTTTCTCCGGGATAAAACGGAAAACAGTTAGCAGTCCGGAGCAAATATAAAGAGAGAAAGGAACTGTCGGGTTTGCATGGCGGAACGAGAGGTAAGTTAGAGTGGGCAGACAGTTTGCACACATTATCATGCGAAGGTGTCACTGTGAACTCGAACTTCAACCCCTATTTCGGTCATTATTTTCCGTTTTTGCAGTCCAACTTCGATTGGCAACACAGTGTGGTACTTGTCCAACATCTTTCCGAGCGATTGTCCTGACTCACGAAGCCGCAATTCAGTAGGTAGCCTGTTCCAGATATCCGAGTACTTTGTCAGGTAGCATTTTCTGCGCGTTTGTTTTTGCTCTACTTTTAGAGAGCGAATTCCTCTTATTCCTGATGTCACCTTCCATTCATTCTAGTGTGCGGGGCAATACACGTTTGTGCGCTTGGTCGTTTCAATCTCCGTAGCCACAGACTCTAATCTAAGCAATATACAGTGCTCTGATTTGTTTGGCGTTGGTGTGAAATAAAAATAAAATGTATATTCTAGGTGTTACACGAGGCACACCAAAGAAGGTATGATCAGTTTGGTACAAGCAGATATGCGACGATTTCAAGTTGCTCAAACATTAGTCTTGACAAGATAAGTGAGTAAATTCAGGAAATCCAAGGCGAGATGTGGTTTTGATAAGTCAAACCAAAATAAGCTTTATGTACCCTAATGGGTTCATTTTCAGCATTTACATCACCACTGCGAACACCTGGAGATGATAGTATTCATATACATGCATGGATGGAAAATGGGAAAAAAGCAGAACTGTCGCTCCAACAAGCGCTCGCGCAGCATGTTAGTGACTTTTGCTGTGTCAACAAGCAAACGTGAGAGATAAGGCAAACCAGTATTACAATACGATGACGTGCGGGAGAACAAAATTCTGAATTTCGAACGAGTAGAAGAGAAAGAGAGCGTTTTGGAAAGATCATTGTGAAGTGGGTGAAATCGATCAGTTAGTGCCTTAGAAGAAAAATCATTGCAGGCATCAAGATGTCTAGAAATGATTAAATCAATTAAAGAATCTATAGACAAGCCGCTGCATCTAGAAATGTGCTCTTTAGATCGCACCAATAAGATGTAGTCTTTCTGAAATAGTCCGGGGAAAATGACAGAACAGTATAGCCAATGGGGAATAATACAAGAGGTCACAAAGCCGAATATTAAAGTACGAGGTACTGAAAGCACCTTAAGCCTGGGGGCATAAAAAGGAAATTTTCTGACTTTTTGAAAAGTTTTACAGATGTGCGCGGACAAAGAAAGGTTCTGGGACAAAAAACGCCGAGATACTTGACGGTGGGAGAGCTGGGTATGGGATTTTCATTCACAGTAAGTGTGCGGGAGAAAGCTATGAGGGACTGCAACTTATCGCCACATAGAAAAGAAAATATTACATCCTTGCATTTATAAGCATTAAGCGTAAGAGATCTGGATGAAGATCATTCCACCAACTCTTCCAATCCACGTTGAAGTGATGAGGAATCCTGGTTAAATGGGGACATACATCCCAGCGCAACATCATCAGCATATTTACACCCTGTAAACGTGGTTTGTATAGGGAGATATTCAACATACAAGGAAAATAGAAAAGGTGATAGGATCGCTCCCTGTAGAACACCACAGTCGGCACGGAAGACAGAGGATTTCTTACCGTTCAACTTGGTGAACGGTAAAATAGTCACGTAACAGATTACACACACCAGGATGAACACTTTCGGATAGCAGGTTTAGCAACCGTGACCTATCCAGGCTTTCAAAGGCATTCGAATAATCCAGGAAGAGAAGCCATACGGATTTACCTTTTGATCTAATGCACAGGCTATAGAATGAATAACATATGCCACTGCATCCAATATGGAGCGCTGGTGTCTATACGCATACTGGTAGATATCGCCCTCAGGAGCGGCTGAAAAAATCCGCGGAATTAGCAGTCTTTCGGAAACTTTTAGGAGCACAGATGTACATGCAATTGTGCGATACTTTTGAGATCCAGTTTTTGGTACTGGAGTAATACTGGCCGTTCTCCAAATGTTCCGTGTTAAAATAGCAAATTGTTTTTCGAACGCTAAGGTGTCGATAGGCACGAATGATGGTATAGATATTCATCGCAAATAAATGTTGTATCAGTGACTCAAATTGTGTTTCAGTCAGTTGAATTGATTCCACATTGAACCGATTGCTTGCGTGGCTATCCGCAGTTACCTGTCGTCCATTTATCGCTTGTTTGTCGTATACTATGGCGTCAGTTCTCATTCGACCGCGTTGGGATCCTATCCGTATCCAGCTGAGGGAACCGTGAGCCTCATGGGAATTTGGATCGGAATCCCTAACTGAGGACCATCGGCCCTTATTGCAAGGTTAATCAGGTGCCAGCCAACATGCCTGCCTGAAAATCTCGGAAAGGCGGGCAACGGACAGAAATGCAGTAGAAACGCTCATGAAAAAGGGATCTACATGCAATAAAGGATTAACCGTTGAAGCATTATGTACTGTGCAACTATGCCAAAGGGCACATCGATCAACCGAATCGAAGGTACTTTTGATGTCGAGGAACACGAAAACGGTGGTCCGCTAATATATGTGACGGTGCTCCAGATTGAGTCGGTATGATGTGTTTTAGATCACCAACTGGTATTACAGAAGAACCCAACCACTTTTGCTGGGACGGTCGTTCTGGATGAGTGACACTCCCGCTACCTCGACATCAGCATCAGCAACCTTCTGGTGCAACCGAGTTTCAGAAATGGAAATGAGGTCTCAAGCATTCGCAGCCTGACCTACTCGAAGTTAGACAAGTTTACGGAGGAGTACTTAGGCGCTAGTGTACATACAATAAAGTTTCTCAGATTTCAGCAGTGTATCGGACATTGTGCAATTCATAGGCGAATTTCCGTCGCGATAGGTTCAGGACGTCAGAAAATAGATTTTAAGAAAATATCACAAACGCGAAAATGTCGAAGTTAACTAATGTAGTTTAAGAGACGCGTGCAAGTTTATGAAAGATATTTCAGTTAGACATTAACATGAGGTAAAAGAGCATTAGGACAATATTTTAAGAAAATGCCACAAACGCGAAAATGTTTTCAAAGTTAAATAAAATTAGCTTAAGCGACGTGTGCAAGCTAATAGAGTGTAGTTCAGGTAGACATTAAACAGACAATCTGGCAAAACCACCATGTGAAATGAAGAGACCTAGCAGGCAAGCAAGCGGTTAGTAAATCGAATGCAGCGTATCTACAAACGCTGCACCAGATCTGCCTACATTCTCCGCAGGATCCGTCATGCTTTCGGTGTTGGCCCCGAGTAACATCGCTTATGCTTCACTAGTCTTACCTGACTCAGGCACTCGCGACCACATATGCTACAGCAACCATGCGCTCGACGTCGATGGAGTCCAACCCATCGGCGCCTTTCGCTTCCGCACTTGCCGCTTCTCTGCCCGCATGAGGCCTTTCTCCTGCACCTCGGCAATGGCATTCGTGATCGGATCGCGCCACGCACGCCGATCAACTGCTTTCGATCCCATGACCTGCAATCAAGATAAGAACGAAGCTTCGGTTTCCCCACGTGCCGCTTCCCAACACTCAGCTGACCATATAATAGCTGCCTCGGTATCCGCTTTGAATCCATACGGCTCACATGACCGATCCACCTCAGGTGTCTCAGCAAAAGTATGCAGTCCACTGCACACATCCCACTTTGTCGCACCATTTCCGTGTCAGAAACTTTGTCGTACCAACCAATGGGCAGAATCCGTCGCAAACAATCCTGATGCAATCGCTCGAGATATCGCACATTCCGCCGGTACATCATCAACGTTTCACTGCCGTATAGAAGAACGGACAGCACCATGTATTTGTAGACTATCAGATTCGTATCAACGGTAAGCTGATAGTTCTTCCACACTCGGTACTCTAGCTTCCCGAATGCCGCCGCTGCCTTCGAGACGGGGATACGCAGCTCACTGTGCAGCTGCTGGTCAGTCGACATCACACTCCCAAGGTAGCAGAAGCGGGATGTGGTTTTCAACACTTCATCACCAATGCTGATTCGCGGCAATATTGAAGATTGCACCTTCGGTAAAGCCTGAAAGAGACGGACAGTTTTGCTTGTGTTGATGGTGAGCCCGAATTTGGCAGCTGTCGAAGCCAGAGCACTAGCCATATGCTGCAACTCAACCGCGCTGTGTGAAAACAACGCACAGTCGTCAGCAAACAGCAACATACGGATAGTTTTCTCATAGACTAGGGTTCTCGCACCGAAACGACGGAAGTTCAACAACGCACCAACAATATGGTGCTCCACACGAACCCAGTAAGCACAAGATAGCATTGCGTAAAGATAAATTTTAAACAGGGCGGGAACTAAGACAGCTTTGCTTCACACCAGTGACAACTTCAAAGTCATCCGAGGTCTCTCCATTCAGCTGCATCCTCGCCAACATAACACTGTGCAGACATTCAATTAAACATACAAACTTACGCGGGCAACCAAACTTACCCAACACCAGCCACAGTGCCTCGCGGTTCACCGTATCAAATGCCCTGGTGAAATCAACAAAAAGCGAGTACAATGGCTGGTATCCTTCTCTGCACTTCTCTTGCAACTGACGAGCCGCAAACACCATATCTATAGTGCTGCGACCCGAACGGAATCCATACTGCTTCTCCGCCACGTTCGGTTCCACAACCTGACTGACGAGGCGGTTGAGCAGGATTCGGGCAATCACCTTGCCCACACAAGTCAGCAAGTTGATGCCACGATAATTCGTGCAACCTTGCTTGCTCCCTTTACCCTTCTACAGTGAGAGCACAAGGGCATCCTTCAGCTCAGGAGGCACCTCCTCCTCAATCCATACGCCTGAGCTACCATCGATCAGCGTGCTCAGCGGCTAAACGTTCGTCCATACAACGCTCTTAACGATTCAAAGAATTCCTTTTGTTGGCGGCGTTCGGCGTAGCACTCCATCTGCTTCACCTTCTCCGTCCATCATGCATTTTTAATGGAACGGGGCTCTCGGAGCATTCGTCGTCGAATTCTGCCAAACTTTCTCTTCTTCCCCAAGCCACTGGAATCTGCGACATGTGCAGCAAATGTTGCATTCTTCTCCGACACCAATGCGCCCATTGTCGCATTGTTCTCATCAATGCAATCAGGGCACAAGCCATAGATGCCCAAAAACATGTAGACGTGGTCTCCGTAGCCTTCATCGAAGGCTGCTGCTCTAACTTCAGGAGATCAGCGTGACAGGCAAAGTCCTTTCCTGGATCACCGACTTCCTAAGAGACCGCAGCCTACGCGTAAAGGTCATTCAAAGCACATCCGCCGCTGTGCTAATCACATGTGGGGTTCCGCAAGGATCCGTACTTGGACCAGAACATAAATAACCCCCAGGTTGCGCTCCAAACCGATTGTTTGATCTACGCTGACGATCTTAAGTTCTGGTCAACGGTATGCAGCCTAGACGATGCCGATAAATCACAAGAGACTAGATAGGCTGCACGAGTGGTCCAACAAATGGCGATTATCAGTACATCGCGATAAATGTGCGGTTCTCCCAATCGGTAAAACTGACCCATAAGGGAGATACCACATTGGTGACTTCTTCACAAGAACACCGCTCAAGAAAAAGAATCTAGGGGTCATCGTATCCTCTGACCTTAGGACGTCCCAGAACACAACGAAGGTCGCAGCTGCAAAGAGGCTTTTAGGTGCCTTGTGAAGGCCGTTCTCCCGAATGACTTCTGAGATCTTCCGACCTCTATACAACGCATGCGTACGTCCCATACCGTTCAACTTCACCAGCTGGACCTGTTTTCCCTAGAGTTCCGTCGTCGCCGCGGCGTTCTCATCTACACTAGACGCATCCTTCTTGGTGAACTCGGAAACGAGCTACTGCAGTTCTTCCACCCTAACGCCGACTGCTCGGCACGAGGTCACAAATGGAAGCTGTTCAAACCACGAATGCTCACGCTCGCTCAGACCTTACCCTGTCCACCCGGGTGGTGAATGAGTGGAACAGTTTACTAAAGGAAATTGTTAACGCACCTTCGGAGGAATGTTTCAAGAGGCTTGTAGACAAACACTTAATGAAGACGTTGGGATCCTGCTGCTCCCGCTGCACCTGCGACGAGCCATCGAGGAACATCATCACACCACGACACGCAGCTATCCCACGATGAATAGAAATCTACGGAGCTGACAAGGATTCTCCCGTCTGCTCTCTACAACCCAATGAAAGGTGCCTGAAAGAAGCGCTCTCAGCACATGCCACACTATTTAACATGTTTTGACATTTTTCCACAGCAAATGATTTCAGTTACATTAAAAATATCTGACTACATCTTTTGGGTTCTGTGATTCCCAAATCATCGTCGCTCAGTCCTTCTACTACTTCATTAGCGTCATTAGGTGTTCGTTCCTTGTTTCCGTAGAGAAGTACCGCAGTCAGTATCTCTTGGAAAATAGCATCTGGGTTTGGTTCAGTGCAAGTTACTCAATCATCATCCGCTTAAACCAATTCTTTAAAATCTACTTTGAATTCTGCTAGTGGAGATGGAATGTCTAGTAAGGCGACGGCATTCCGCTCGAGAAGTTGAGCAAATCCGGGTTATCCGAGACACATCTGTGTTCTTTCTGGTTGAACTTGGAACCAAGCAGAACTTATCCAAAACACAGTATCCCAGGCATTAACTGAGGCAAAGATGAAGTTCCTTTCGCAATTTTGCCATAGCCCCTTGCATGAGTTGGACTCGGTAGTGCACAAAAGGGAACATATCCCGCTCGTCGGGAAATATACCCATTTATTTATTTTGATGATCCCTGGGTTGAATTTGTGGTGTCATGTTTGTAGACAGAAACTTTAGTGTAACATTTGTGACATGTATTACATGGGTTGGCTGGGACAGTTGTCCACTGTTGGGATAACGAAGTGTTTCTTCTTCATCATTTCTTTGCAGATACTTCTGATCCACTCCTCAAATATGGCAGCAGTCATCCACGCGGATTGATCTGATCTCCAGAGGACTAAACGATTTTCAGGATTTCGGTTTTTGAAGCACGGGGTCTAGCTGATTTAGCAATGACCACGGGTCTTTGCTTCTCCCCGCACTTGAGCTAGCGCACAACAGAACTGTGAAACGTGCTTTGGAATGTTTTCAACTCTTACAGTTGTCATCTAGTATAACAAAGCATCTGTTACGCATTTCCTTGGAAATGAGACTGCAATCGTCAGCGTTAAAAATGCCATCATTGTTTGGTTGACCATGTGAATCCTGTGTGTTGATTTGGCTCTCCTTTGGCACATCAATGCACTGGATTCCCTGTTGGATCAACGAGGTTTTCGAAGGTGGAACATTCACGGTCCCACTTGAACTTAAAAAATTTTGGTGGTCTTGAACAAAGTCTTCAGACCCTCTATTGAATTCAACACACAAAACTCTGGGAAATTTTATGTCGGACTTTAAATATCTCTAGCCAGCCACTGGATGCCTGGAAATCTGTAGCTCCAAATTTTTGTGAGAACCTTTTAGCCATTTCTTGAATCATCGGCTTAAAAATTCGAGTGTTAGCTGCGCTCATTTGCTTGAACCACCGCAGCGTTGCCTCATTGACTTGATCATGTGAAGTTTTCCTCCTCTTACGCTGTGGATCTCCTCCTTCATTATCCGTATCTCTCCAAGTACTCGTGTTTATGTCTTGCTGACAGCAAAACGCTCTACCACTTTTCTTTGGCTCTGCTTTCCAGAAAATGTAGCAAACTAATTTTACCTTCAAGGTCATCCCAGAAGTCTTTTCTTTGGGCCATGATGTTGAATTACTCGATCCTAAATTGTTCAGAGCACGGAGTGGATCTAAGGTCTATAGTTCTATTGGCATAATATTAATTACATACAATAAGTAACCGAAATTGTTTTCACTCTCAGGCAGACACCAAATAGAACTGGATAAACGCTCGACAATTAATGTGGGTGTAAACGTCAATCTCGCCACAATCCAAGGTGTTAATGAACTGGTGGTTAGTCGAGGGTTTGACAGTCACTGAACCCCTTGATTGCGATGAGTGAACACGTGTTCTTAGGGGTAGACGAAGACTTGACCGTGGACAGGTTAGGAAGGTTGAACACAAATCCTTCTAGGTCATTCAGTTGGCGTGGATCTATGGGGACCCAGATTGATTTAGTTAATAAGCATGCGCGAAAGGCTGACAGCCACGAAAAACACGCACATACACACAGAAAAAATGCTGTATCCACACTGATTTGGGGTCAGAAGTCCACACATTGCAGTCCCGCTGCACACCATGTTATCGGAACAAACGATCTATTCGGGAACCATTGGATGGTAACCCCTCAAGTGGTGAAGTTATGGAGGTTGAATTATTGCTGACCGTCATAGTCCAAGTGGTCAACACACAACTTACTGAGGTGGTCAACTTACAGAGGTCTGGTTCCATAGGGTTTACATAGTGACCGTTCAAACTATGAAAAGGTGGTCAACATATAGAAGTGGTTAACTTTGGATGCCCGACGCTAAGACTGCTCTAGTTCATTGAGACCGTGTTTCAGCCGCAGATGCCAAGTTTTAAATGCGTATCCGACATGGGGGGGGCGAATATACGCACTAAGCACCTGTTGGAAAATAAAATACTTAGTCTCAACAGCCTAAGTATTGGTTACCAGCTTTCGATGCCATATCGGATTGCCTGGAACAACCCAAGTCATCCTGAACCAGCACACCTAGATCAAGTTTGACGGAAGATCGCTGCAATACTTGGGTTCCTTGCCTGTATGAGTAGGTGCCCTGGTGTCGTATGGAGAGTAAGTTGAATTTACTCATGAAGCAGATGCTAGTCGGCATGCACTTGAATCCTGCGCCCTATCTCGATGTCGTCGACAAACAATAGGAAATTCGGATTGATTGTACATACTTGTACGATGTCACCATTGAATACCAAAAGCAATGGTGATCATAGAAGAGAACTCTGAGACACATCAAACTCGATTTGTATGACTCAGAGTACCGAACTCTGACTAATTACCGTTGAACAAGATTGGTGATACAGCTCCAGAGAGTCATCGATGCCGTGATAACAGAACTTCGAAAGTAGAATCCAATGATCGAACGCACTGGACAAAAGCAACTAGATCACGTCCACATCCTCGCCAGAGTCAGCTGACTCGGTCCAATTACTCTATGCGATCAAAAAACTTGTTGTGTACGATCGTCGTAGACGGAAGCCTTGCTGATCGGGAGCAACAATCTTGCAGTTTTCCGAGTAACACACCGATGTATCAACAATGATGAAATCCATGATCTTGTACAGTACGGGGCGGTATTTTGAGTGCTCAGTTCTACTTCCGTCTTCGTGAATCTGAATTATTATTCGAAGTTTCCACATGGAAGGAACTTGGTTCTGGTTTAGGCAGCGCTGGAAGAAGTGAGTCAGAGGTTCCGCCAATTGTCTTGTTGCTGCTCCCAGTGCATCAGAGAATGGTACCACCGTTCGCGAACCTGTGGTTGCGCAGAGACATCAGTTTCTGCAATACAGCTTCAGCGATAAAAGAGATGTAGGTGAATCCTGACGACAGGGTAACAAAAGCTCGAAGATCGTGTGCTGCTTTCGTTCGTTCGCTGCTTTCTAGCCGTCCTTACTGGGCCATCAGCCGTCCGGAGCGCAGGGAATCCCAGTCTCACCTTTCAGAGGTCACCGATGTGCTTGTACAACAGTAGGTGGTTGGCACTGAGACTTTTTGTTATGTTCTGTTGGTGTGCGGCTTTGTCTTCTCTGAACAATTGAGTGCAGTGGCTACATTAAAATACATAATCGTCCCAAGTTTCTGGCCTTAGTGCGGATTTATACGCTCGCCATGTTGTGTTGCGTACTGCCATCCTTTTTCTTGTTCTGCTCTTTACGAAAGAAACTGTTTTTAAACCCATTGCAAACTCTTGTCTCTGAAGCATCCGTAAGCAGTTCATTAAATCTGCTGACGAATTGGGGCTAGGCAACTTCCGGGGGCCTCTAGCGAAGGACGACCAGTTTGTGACGCTGACTAGTAGGGCTAAGCAGCCGTAGTGTGTGATGATGCACATCGTCCCATGGTTCTCAGCAGATGAAGTGAACACTAGGGACTGCATGGTCACTGCGGCCCAAAAGAGAGTCTACAACCAACACATCGATCATATGTCCCAGCAAAGATGGCATGTTGCCTGTTCTGAACCTGGTGGAGGAAGTGACTTGATTGTAAAGAGGAGCACTGGTTACAAGTTCCTGCAGATCGGATTTAAATTGTCCTCAGATCGTAGCACCGGTTTCTAGACAATGTACGTCAAAATCTTACATTATAAAGATGTGTATATTTTCCTTTTAGAATGCGCCTTAGAGCAGTCGCAAGGTGGCTGTCCATTTCAGGTTTTGAATTTGGGGGGCAGTACACCGATCCCATACTATTTCTGACTTCTAACTGCAAGCGGAACCAAAGAGAATCGGTGATCAGAGAGTCTGAATCCTCCATGCTGGCGCACTGTTAGTCGCTTCGGTAATGTGGAATTACCCCTCCTCCTTTCGTAAGTTTGTCGTTCCGAATGAGCGACATACCGGGTAGCGAAACTTCGGCATTCATCATTCCAGTGTGCAACTACGTATCCTTGATACCGATGATATCATATGGCTCGGAAACTTGGCGATCTTTCAATTCGGCCAGCTTATTGAAAAGTTGTTTAGCGTTGGTATACACGCAGGCTAATTTCTCCATCTCTATGAATCCACAGCGGTTAAAGCAGGTAGGTGTGGAGGATGCCGACCGATGTGAGGTCGGCCGTTGTTCGTTTTTTTGACAGCATACTGACACTTCATATGCAACTTCATCTGGTGAAGATACGTCCTATTCCTCAGGCATGCCTAATTCAGAATCGAGTTAATGAGCGGTCAAGTGAGACGTCTGTGTCATTGATGGTAGGTTTACTTTTGCAGATGTTTGTATGTGGTCTTTGCAGTTTCTGCAGCCTTTAACTGGAGTACATTTAGAGGGATTTTCTGCTCTGACTGAACCACATTGTGGGATTCTTGAGCCACATCCTCTGTAGTTAGATGAGACAGGTGACGTTTTAATCAATCGCGCGACGTTATCCAAAGAAAGCATTTCAGACGAACAGCAACTGTTCTAAATCGTGGTTTCCAGTCTCTTGACTATTTTTGGAATGGAGTTCTGGCAGCCCATGGATAAAGAGTGTGCTTGCTTGCTGAATCCTTCAAGTGTTACTTTCTGCTTGTCGCGTGCTCCAAGGGACATCAGGATAGAAGCGTATCTCACAGCATCCGTGTTGTAGCGCAGTTTCATAAAAACGTGTTCTACATCAATTTCAGATTCTAATGTCACTCTAATAAGTCACCGTTCACCGTAGTGTGCAGAGTTCGGGTAACGAGTAAACCGAAAAAAGACTCTTGTCATATTGCAGTGGTGACGCAATCATCGACGTGAATTACCAAATCTCAACCTTCTCAACTAACCTGTAAATTTGATTAGACGAGCTAGTGCAGTGGTGGAAATCACACTGCTTGATGCTGAACACACCTAAGTGCAATGACGTTGTTTTCAATTCATAAAGGAGCCCATTGCCAAAAGCTTGTCACGGATTGTCCCATACTTCAGACCAATAGTGAGAGCTTATAGTGAATATGAAACATTTACGATTTCAGTATTTTGTAACATTGGATTTTATTCTTGTTTGTATCTTTTGATCGTCCACTTGTTTTACTGATTGGTTCATTTTCGAACTCCCTGCGATTCGCACGCTACTTTGCTCTGTACTCTTACTAATTTACTCCTAGTTCATTGCAGTTGTTTACAATACACGTTAGGCCATGTCACGTACTCATTTCTGAAAAAGTGGTATCCGTATTGGTTCCTACTTGTTCTCGTCGTAACTAGTACCTGCTTTACATTTGGTGGCCCCAACTACGAGTACGGTTCCGCAATCGCCGAAATCATTTTTTGTGAGCTCGTTCTTTTTCTTCTTTGAATTGCGTTCTGCAACTATTATTTTGTGATATGCTATGGCCCACTCAGTTACTAACATTTTCGGCTCATCTGCTAGTGTCGCATTGCTGTCTGTCCTCCCTATCTTATTTGACGACCCTGCTTTTTGGTTTGTCTTGTCAGAGTATGAGCTTTTGTGGCATATTGTTTTCGGCCAACCTAAATGTAGTCATTTGCTAAGTGACCTCCCTAGGGACTTCGCTTTACAGCTCAGAGACACTCCTTCGAATCCAAATACGGATCTTTCTTAAGCAGAAAATTGTGACCCGACTGGAACTTCCAGCGAGTACGCGAATCAAACAACGATGCTTGCATCTAGGAGACGCGAGGCCATCCACCCTATTGAGTGAGATGAAGAGACTCCTTGGCTCATGCTCAATGGATGACTCCATCCTTCCGAAGCTTTGGCTTCAGCACCTACCCGAGATAGCTCAAGCTATTGTCATATCCGCCAAGATCTCTTTCCTCACTCTGGCCGCGCAACTGGCTGAAGCGGTCATGGATCATCTTCCTAAGGAAGTAGACTACGCAACGCCACCCGCTACACATCCGCCGAATAACCATAACGCATATCAACAGCCACCTACTTCATGCAGGTATTACGCAGTCCCTCTCTGAGCGTGCCACAGTACTTAACGAACTAGAGGCATTCCGCGGCGCTCACGATTCTCCTTCAGCAGTCGATAACTGGCTGATAACTAAGAGCAAGTCGGCCAATCCCGCAGCTTACCGCGTAACAAACTCTGCTGGTATCACCGCCGCTTTGACCCTTAGGCGAAACTATGTACTACTCTTTGAACCTTCCCTTCGACTCAATCAGAAAAACTTCC